TGTTAATTTTTTTGGTGTGAGTGTAGTGTGATAGTCACACGCTATTTGGATGCATTTGCAGTATTTAAAGTACATTGAGATATATGGGAATGTCTAGCAAGTGAATATAAATTAACAATAATTTTGATGCATTTATTTTAAGCCCAAAATAGGATGTATGCATTTTTGCTTACTAGGCGAATATAATTCAACTACAATTTCTAAACATATAATGTGTCTTTAATTAGAACATATAGATAAATGTACGTATTAACTGATCCACTTTTTTAAGTTGTTAGTTTAGTGACCTGTGGGATTTGTGCATAATAGGTCAGCATAAATCAATTAAATGTACTAGGTCACAACAGTGGTTTATGAGCACTGAAATATATACTATTATTCATCTACTTCAAATTATAATGTTGTGTTCGTTGGTCATTGTTAAAACCATTACATGACGTTACAAGATACTCCTGCAGCCTCTACTACACGAAATGTGTCATCTATATTGTCTGATGTAATGGCTATATTCCAAAGAATAATGCTTAGTTGTGTATTTTATACGTGGGTGCAACTTAAGCAAGCTTTTGATACATTTATGAAGGTAACAACTAAATTGTTCATTATTTCTTTGAAAGGAATCCAACACATCCTAACGGCTTGATTCAGGTAAAAAAGAGCCATCTGGCCCTATAGAATATAAGTTTGTGAGCTTTGAATGCACTTTTAGAGGTATAGTTTAGTAAGCTTGGGACGCTTAAAATACCAACCTTGCAACAATTCTCAGGAAAGTCTAACCAACGCGTCAATAATGCCTTTTTACGGTAAATGAATATTTTATCTACTTGAAGTGAACCCAGTATGTACTGAAATAACCCTGGTCCTTCTAAAAAGCTACTATATTTGGGTCTCGCCTACTCAGGAACATTCTGCCTCCCCCCAGTACTATAATTATAGGAAATTTTCCCTGTCAGTATACTTACTTTCGAGTACCAAATACAGCCGACTGTTTTTGGATGCTGTTCGGACAGATTGGAGTAGTTTCTTACTGCAATATGAGAACTGTTTCGGAGATGAACATATTGTTTACAATATTCATTTTCTGAAACGTACAGTGGATGACGTCGAGCTGCATGGGTTATTAGAGGGATTCAGTGCATTTCCCTTTGAATTCTATACGCGCATAATCAGACAGTTCGTGCACTGTGGATATGTTGTGGCTAAGCAGGCAGCTCAGCGTTATGTTGAGCACGTGCACTTAATGAAAAGTACGGGTGTCAAGCATGTACCTAAAGAAGCTAGTACTAAAGGCGTTAAGTTTAGCAAAGGAAAGTTAACTTATCTGAACGTCATATTTACTTCTTATTCTCCCGACAATGTAATCTTAGCCTCAGGTAAACCGGGGGAATATAGCTGAAATAGAAAGTGAAGATAGGATACGCTTTCGACCCTACTGTGATTTTAGTGATGATTTTAATACACCATTTAAATCAAGGAATTTAGGGATATTCAGATGTTCGAAATTCAGTCACGAGATGTAAGGTTCATTAATGAAGTACTTATTTCTCTAGCGACCAACTGATGACATCGAGAGAGGTCGGTGACATAATGGATTAGGCCACGAAATGGTACATTCATAATTTGAAAGATTGTGTCCAAAGGCGTAACCTGAAGAAAGGAATTCAGGTAATATTGTTAAACGCCCGCTTCGTTTTATAGGTTAACGTTAAGACGACATCTAGTAATCACAAAATTGTTTTTATTTCTAGGCAAATGGAAAAGATAGCAGGGGATATAACAGTGGCAGTTATGTAAGCGAACTTTTCTAAATGTAAATGCTGAGAATGTGATGAGCACAATGTTTCATCAACTGATATTTCATTTTGCTTATTTATAGGGTGCTACCAGTGGACCTAACTTGACGGATTTGCAGTGACATTGTACTACAGTTTCCAAATGTAATTTCCAAATTTAAGCTCAAAAAAATTGCCACTATGTGCCAAATTAAGTCTTTTTCTTCTGAACTTAAGCTAGTCCGTACTGAAGATGAGCTCAAAGGGTTTAAATAAAGCTGATAAGCAAAACCAGTAGGTTCTCATATACTCCTGAAAATGTCTACAAAAAGAACATGGTGTTGAATTAGTGTCAGTCATGCTGAAAACCAAAAATGAGTTCTACACTGTGAAATTAAAGAGTCTATTTAAGAAAAGATCCAGAATTTACTGACTGTAGAACGTTGGAATTAGTGAGATTTAATTCAGCATTATGGTAAGCTTGGGAGGAGCAGAACCTGGACTAGAAGGGCTGCAATAAGGCTGATAAGCTACTTCTGATAATGCGTAGAATAAGAACAAGGTGCTGAATTGGTGCCAGTCATGATGATAAACCAGCGCACAGTTCTACCTTAAGCAAATAATCCGTAACTGTTCTGCCACTGTTTGATCCAACAATGGCAGAACAGTTAAGGCGTTTAATTACTGAGAAAAGTTACTATATTAGCATAGTATACGTGAATTGGCTCAATGATTGCAGATTTACCATAATCCTTAACTACCAACATAAAAACTGGGAACTGCAAGCTAAAAATAAACGTCTTAGTAGCATCCAGTGACAAAAAACTGACCTACATACTCCAAAACAAGCAAAACGTTCAAAAAAAACCTTTAAAATTCAGTGGAAAACGAATTCACGAAAACATATAACCAGCAGACACAGGAACCCATCATGACCTTGAAACTGAATATAGCGTCTTTCTGTCTTATTTAGCCTGTAAAAGTAACCAGCATGCTGTTAAGTTTTATTCAAAAGACATAGGGTTATAAATGAACTAGAATTTGGATTATGACTACAAAAAACACTCGTCTTATTTCCTTTTCTGATTGTATTTGATGAATAACACTCATATTATTATTTCTGAATGTACATTATCTTATATTGATTTTTATTCAAATGTCTAACCATCAATTCCACTGATGTATATAAATGAAGCAAGAAAGTTGTGTGTTTGTGCCTTGATATGATTATCAGCAGTAATAGTTTGTGCTCGAAACGTGGTCATCAGTGAGTATTACTGTATAACACTGTGTGATTTATCAAAATAAAATCTTATCCATAATGGAGTTAAAAGTACTTCCCAGTTTTTAAATTAGACCACTTTATTCACTGAGGTGATTTAAGGCTAATTTTTGTTTGTGACCCGTTTAATCGCTCTTATCCTGTTTTCCAGTCTTCCTCAAAAGCCCTCGGTTGAATTATTATGGTTTCCAGTAAGAGGATCGATGACTACTTACTAGGAGAATGTGGACAATAAAAACTCCAATCCTATCCCAGTGCGTCGGTGGCACAGCGGTAGAATGCTCGCTAACGACGCATGTGGTCCGCGGTTCGATCCCTGGCCAACGGACGCACTCCTTTACCTCGCTAAGCTAGTAATAAGACTTGTAAAGCGGGAAGGTCGGGCATGAGGCTAGCAACCCCATCTCGTGAAAAATAAACACCACGGCTACCGAAACTACAAGCCTCCAGCTGGAAGCCCTATATTCCCCTGGGAATGTTAAGGAATAAAAAAATCCTATCCCTAATCGTAACCCTAACCCCTAGGATAACGGGGCGAAGTGGTAAAGTATCATAGCCAAAGTCAAGGTCTTTCAAAAGTTGACCTTCAGGTACCAGTTAGTTAGGTGCAGTGAATGCTATGAAATGTCAGCCGAAATCAAATCATGTCTGCCTTTTCGGACCTGGACGGGTGGCAGATACATTACTCTACTTATACCCTCCTCCTAGACACTTTTTCTGAAAATCTATACTGTTAGGTAGGGTTGTGACTTTTTAAATTAAGGTTTAGGGTCTAGAGTTAAAGTTAGGATTAGCGGTTAGGATTATAGTTATAGTTATGAGTAGGTTGGAGAATAGTGTCAGGAATATGAATGGATCCTCAAATTACCATTACCTACATTCACCTGGATGGATGGATATATCACGCATGGATATTATTTCCCCATAGATCAGATGTGTATTGACTGGGAGACTTTCCAAAAACACACAAGTTACAACTATGCAGTGTATTTTTCAACGATTATGCGACTTTCTTGTATCTGGATTCTGATTGGTTGTCCAAGGTCATTGTGCTTTTGGCTATCATATTTTAACTTTGCCGATAAGGGTTAACCTTTATCCTAACCCTAATCCTAATTATAAGCCTGATCCTAACCTTTAATCCTTCTTGTAATCCTAACGATCTATTAACATATTGTTCAAACAGCACTTAAGGAAGTGATCTGGGTGAAGTTTTCTCCTTATGTGGTGAATAGCGTTCATATTATTAGTGCGCCATAATATTGAAAGGTCTCGTTATCCGACGACTGGTATGCGTTCAAAGTCATCGGAGCGGTCACACCCTTGGGACCTGATAGAAGTTAATTGGTAGATGATGACTAGCAGTAGAATAATCCAGGATAACGCGCACTTCGTCCTATTTGGGACTGGTCATCTGGATGTGCCTGTATTCCCCAGTCAGTGAGTGATAATGATCCCACCGAGGCTCGAACCCAGTGCTCATAGTTTCCACTAGACCACTTAGGCCACGACACCCACCTCTTATGCAACGGGTCATATTAAATATTTAATTGAATTTTATATTTTCCCGTCGATTGATGCCCAGGCATTGTCGAAGCATCTGCACAAGAAGCCGACCTGATAGTTTAACTTCTCTATAGACTGTTTTCTTCTTGTTATGCTTTGGAATTATTTTGAATTTTGATTGGATTGAAATACGTAGCCTGTGTGTCGACTCTTCTACGTTTGACACGATGAGTTGGGGGTGGGTTCGAGTCTCAGTGGACACACTGTTACTCACTGTCGACGGGTAGGGAAAGAATACAAGTACATTCAGATGATGAGTTCCTGGATTCCTCTAATGTAATCACCAACCAACAAACCAAGTAAAATCATTTTGATTTTTTTTTTTCGTGTTCTTTTCCTCACTATCACATAATTATCGCAAATCTCTTTTCATTCTTCAGCAAGAATTGCATACAATCCAAGAAAAATGTACCAATCCACATATTATTAGTTTAGTTGAAAAGAAACTTGGTTCAATTCGTAAAAAGCGAGTAAGTTTTTTAATGTATAATGTATATAATTAATGCTTGCATTCGTAGTTTTGAGATCGATCAATCACATATCGGCATTATTTAGAGTGAACCCTTTAAAAAGCAACAGAGAGTACTAGAAAGCTGTTTCGTCCCAGTTTTGGACTATTCAGTGTAGTGTACGCCATCATAACTCCATCACCTGAAGGTTCTGGGTCTGATCCCCGGTGAGGTTATAGGTGTGAATTACTGAAGATTCTCAGGTGAGGACGTGACAGTTGTCTAGTATACTATCTGTTGGTTTCCAATGGTTCTCTAAATGAAATCAGTTCGTGGTCATACTTCAAACTTAATTGTCTATTCAACATAATCACACTAAGTAAGCGGTTGGGTCTTGTCGCATTTTAACATATTCTGAAGTAGATATGTATACAAATATTCAGTTGTTGGAGGAACTGAACGAGAGAGAGCCTGAAGTCGACAAACTGATAGCTGGCGTTGACACTGTCTGAGACAGACTTTGGTTGACGAACTATCATTGATACATTGAGTGATGAATACTGTTATCGGCCAAGTTAAACTTTAAGTACCACTAACTACCAATCAGCGAACTACATCGAATGATCCAGTGAGATTCATGAACGTGAGTACAATGTTGTATAGCGCTTCATTTGTTTCAAATGCGTGCTCTAACGAACTTACGCTTGCAGTTCGAGAAGGATAATGTTTTGCAGTATTGCCTGGATTTGGAGTTGCTTTCGAAGGAGAGGATTTGTTCATGTGGTGGTGTGATGATTTTAAAAAGCTTTAGCAGGTCGACTGATGGATATGTACATCGTTGTGCAATTTGTTTGAGACGAGTTAGCATTCGAGAAGGTAAGCTGGTAATTTCGTAGGAACATTTTTCGCTAGGTCGCATCTCTTTCTTAACGCAGATTTTGTATATTTGCAACTACTGGGTTTTAAAACAGCCTGTGAGAGCCCCAGCTGCTGAAGCCGAAAATAGCCTCGTCTCAACAGTTCAGTGGTACCAGCACTGCAGGGACATTGCATCACAGAAAGTGGAGAGAATTACTTCCTTGTTGGGCGGAGAAGGCATCGTCGTGCACATGGACAAAACTGTCTTATTGAAGGAAAAATACAACCATGGTCGTCAGCGAGCCAACAATTGGTTGTGGGTTATGCAGCAATAACGAGTTGTAGTTGCGGAGAAATGTGATCTTGGACGTCAATAGCTGCGACGTAGTAGATTCATCGGCTTAATCGCCAACACTAGTGGGTCTCCGTCCGGTCCGAGCTTCGCGGCACGGAACTGCTGCATCGCCAGTTGCCTGTCCACTGGGCTGTCGAACTCTGCCACCATACTTCCAGCCAATACCTTCCAGGTCGCCTTCCTGCCTGACCGCTCCACACCGTTGTGCGTCGTCTTTGCTAGACTCCTTAGCATCGTCTCTAGCACGACCGCCTTCGCCATTGGATCACTGACATCCACCAACTCAGCAACGGTCTCAGAGTCCGTATGTCTCCTTCCTCGAAAGCAGATGGCTATGTAATCTTCATTGTAACGGTAGAAGACGAGGGACTTGGTAAAGGAATATGCAGTTGGCATTGGGAATCTCTGTATAGCGCAATTATGTATACCTTATCTTCAGTGCACCATTTGCACATATCTTCCTTGTTGTGCTACTCCTCTGCCCTTCCTTCATACCGTGTGTGTGTGTGTTTCTTTGTGTTCTTTTCACGTCTTCCATGTTTATCCGCAACGCTGCATCATTTGCTTTCTCTGTCATCAAATCCGTCTCCCTGCTTTTTGATGATTTTGATGCCGATGAACGACTCTTTATATACTACTGATAAGTCTTATCAGTAGTAAATGCCGCAGTCCAGCTGATAAAGTTATGTGCCGTTCAGGCCATATGTGTTATAATTGTAGTTTAGAATAAAATATTGGCTCGTAGCGCGATTAAAATCAGCTACCATCCCAGGTGGTTTTACCACCAGTTCATCGGTAACTATTCTTGTAATTTTAGTGTGACCACTGCATTTGCAGATGGAAGGATTTATGTGAAAATGTAATTTAGTAATATTCAAGTATTTGGTTTGCAGGAATAAGATTAATGGCTAGTTTGACCACAAATTGACTTCAATTAAAGAACCATTGAAAACCAGCAGGAGAGTACTGGACGGCGAATGTTTCGTTCTTTTTTGGGGCTCTTCAACAGTGTGCCCACCCATGACCTTCAGGTTACAAGGTGAGCTGTTTGACTATTCAGCTACACTGGGACCGAATTCAATGGCCAGCCCATGAATTCTAATACTACGGCGGCTGCCGATTTGCGATATATTATGCAACCGGCAGTCATTATCGTCGGTGAGTTTTTGTCATCACGCCCAACCTAGTTGACCCAGCTGGTCATGACTTCCCACTAGAACTCCAGCCAACTCCATCCTGTAGTAACTTGCTATTGAGCATTATATTTTGGTTCGTGGGGGATTTGATCGATTTCAAGAGGTTTCGGCCGGTGATTGATTGAACACCGAACTACGTGAGGCGTGGTTGCCGCTGCACTACTGACTCCCTTACTTCCTATGAGACACACGTGTTACAGAAGGTAAAACTGAGCTTCTGTTTATGACCTAACATACATTTACTTCTTTCCGTTCAGTTTGAGCTTAGTAGCTGTCAATTAGAATCATTTGTGACGGTATAGTAGGCGCCTGAGAGAGCATACTTCCTTTAATTATAGTTTAAACGAATAAAGAATGATTAGAAACCGGATTAAAATGGCGAAATTCAATGTAATATGTATGATATAAAATTTGTTTGCTCAGACGTTTCTTATCATCAGACAGTATACCCTATCCATTTGATGATATGAGTATCAAACCCTAGTAACTTGGACGCCTTTGATTAGAGTAATCTTTGTAGTGACTCCATTAAACAGTTCAACTTCAGTTCTTACCCGTCATATTAATTAATATCATAGGTCTTTCAGACTGTGTCTGTCAGCGGTTTTTCCCGTCTACACTTGCGTATGAGGATGAACTTTAAAGTGTTCCCTTGTGTTCTCAGTGCAACATCCCCATTTCACTCAGATTTCAGCAGTCTTTTTTATTTTTCGAGTTAGACGACGGACGATTGATATCAGTTAGAGAACCATTGAAAACCAGGACAGGAGTACTGGACAGGCAGCTGTGTCGTCAACCTAGTCTGGGACTCATCAGCAGTATGCACCCACTGAGTTTTGAACCCCACGACATTCTGATATCAATCTGTAGTCTAACTCGGAAAACTAATCAACTCTTGAAAATTAATCTGATGCTCGCTAGTGACTGACTGGCTACAGTACGGAGTTTCCTGCAGTTCTAGTGAGAAGTCTTGACCAGTGAGGTCCACCCTGTCGGGAGTGAGGATGCAGTTCCTACAGTTGACATTGGTTTGTGTTCGCGCTGAAATCACGAATTTGTAGAAGTTAGAATTCATGGATTGGCCATTGAGGTGTCGGGTCCCAGTGGCTGAATGGTATACGAGCTAGTTTGCCTTGTAATCGGAAGGTCCTGGGTTCGAACCCTGTTGGTAGTTGCGTACTGTCGATGATTCCCAGAATAGGACGAAACAGCTGTTCAGTACTCCAGTGCTGGTTTTCAATGGTTCTCTAACTGATATCAATCCTCTGTGGTCAAACTCTCCTCCGTTTCACTCTCAGACGCTCAACTCGTCGTTTCCCATTCCGTAGATTTCCACTCGAAGGTATCACGTGCAATATTTCTCAATGAATTCCTCAGCCTGTGTCCATTTCCTTCTCCATATTTCTAAACTCTTGGCTGGCTTACTGCTCGTCACAATTCCTTATTGCTTATCATTTCCCACTTACCATATGGTCTTCAGTATCGAGAGATGTGTCTTTAGAGCTATTGATCATCGTGCGGACATTTCATATCCACATGCGTATTTTGGCTTTTATGGAAACTTTTATGTGTCAAACTAGTTGCATTCGTGTATTAAAACTTGGTAAAGTTGAATACAGTCGATTTCATAGGTATCTTTATACCAACTTCTTATTTTGTAAGTGGCGCGTCTAAACTGATAGGTCCTGATTTCGAGTCTCAATGGAAATACCATTACTCATTCAAGATGTTGTCAGGGGAGGCTTCGTGTGCTCTTGGAAGTGTGTGGGTGGTTGTTACTTTCCGGCTGCCCACACCGTGAAATTTGATTGATTCTTCGGGTACCTGAAACAGAAAGAGGGTTAGTATTGTGTGACCGCAGAGCCCAGGGGACAACTGCTTGAGGCCGGTCACACACGGTCTGTATGAACTGGTTTCTTGGTTTGGTTCTGTATTTGGAGATTTACCGCCGGTTACAGACCACCGTAGAGTAAGTCAGGATGTACAATTGTTGGGGTTGACCTTCTCTAACAGCATAGCTGGCATACTAGTAGTCTGAGGGGAACACCTTACTGTGGCTGTTACATCCCTGTTCCCCAGCAGTACGACTTCGCCCACAGACCAGCGGCATGGTGTAAAAAAATCTCATACTACGCCGATAACTGCTTTTAGTCTAATCGCTATCCTAACAACCTTCCTGGCATGATAGGACCTGCAGGAACAATAGTTCCAGCCAGTGTAGCTTGTTGGGTCATTGCGATGTGCAAGCCCAACCACGACGTCAAGGTAGCAGCTATCGGTCGAGTTCTAGATGTTGGAACATCCAACTAACTGATGAGTCCCAAGTAGGGTGAAACGCGCTTCCTAGATTTCATTATCAGCCACCATCAACCAAATAAAGCGTGGGGACAAATACTCGCCTAAGACACTAGCTGGCGGTCGCACTACGTCGTTAATAGGCAGAAGTTGGAATTTGTGGACTGACTGGCTATTGGATTGGCGAGTCCCAGTGGCTCAATGGTCTACGAGCTCGCTCGTCTAGTAACCAGAAGGTCCTGGGTTCGAACCCACGTGGCGGGGTGGGTGCGTACTGTTAAAGAGTCCCAAACTAGTCTGACGAAACAGCTGGCTGT